GAAAGCCTTAAGAAAGTTGAGGAGGGACCAGCAGGTGGTGTGGTGATTAAGGTGTTGGACAGTCCACATGGCTAACCATGGTTCGAGTTGCGGATCTGGTGGCTTCCTTTGTCCCTTTCCCTCTCTCTCTCTCTGTGTGTCCTTCTCTGGTCAAATTAAAAAAATAAATGGATAAATAAATAAAATTAAATAGGGACCAGCAATTAGCGTAATGGCTGGTGCTGACCTCCCCTCTAGTTTACCTGTTGCTGAACTCCCATGTAGTCTACCGTGGTTCGAGTCCCAGATCTGGTGGCTTAAATTCACACTGGGCACGTGCGTGTGCGTGCCCAAGATCCCGAGAGGAGAATGGAGGAGATTGCGGTGTGGCCATCCCCCCTGGGGGGTGATTTCTTGCTTTCTATCTCTGTGTCTCTGTCTTTCTGGCAAGCACAAACGCCCTATAGCAAAAACCTCTAAAAAATAAATAAGTAAAATAATAATTTTTAAAAAAGAAAGTTGAGGATAGAAGAAAGGTAGTATAAAAATAAATTTAAAAAATTAATAAAATAAAATGAAATATTACAACAAAAAAGAAGAAAGATAGTCTGTGGTGAGACTGAAAATACTAACAGGTGGAACCACAGAGCATGGTCCCAGGGACAGAAAATAGAATCTATAATAACATAGGGAGGAGTTTGTGAGGGGATTTTTGTCTCAAGAATGAGAGAAGGAAGAACAAAAAGCTAAATTAAGGTGCAAACGAGATGAGCCTGTTCACTGTGACCTCATTTATGTTAATATGGCTATAAACTACAAAGTGGCAAGGCTGTGGGTGGAGGTAGGAATTATCCGTATGGCATCACCCATGTGCCCAAAACTTTACATATAAGATTTCAATGAATCTTGGGACCACCATATGGCATAATGGTTATGTTGCTGGACTCCCACATGACCAACTGTGGTTCGAGTCCCAGACCCAGAGGCTTGAAACTCACTTTGGGTACATGTGCGTGCATGCCCAAAATTCTAAGAGGAGAATGGAGGAGAGGGTACTGCAGTGTGGCCATCCTTCTTGGAGGGTGATTTCTCGCTTTCTATCTCTGTCTCTCCAGTGAGCACAAACACCCCATAGGAAAACATTTCTCTCTCTAAAAAAAGAAAAGAAAAAAGATTTCAATGAATCTTAAAAATTACCCTAAGAAGCTATCATTCCTAATCTTACTTAGGAGGTAAGGAAATTGAGGCTCAGCAAGGCTCACTTGTAACCAGCCTAAAGCCACACAGTTAATGGTTAATGAGCACTTATTAGAAGCCAGGTCAGTCCACGTTTGCTATACTTAGTTTATAAGTGGCAGGGAGAGAAATGCAGCTCTAAGAAGAGGAAAAAGTTTTAATCATTGGAGAATATAATAGTGAAATCATAAAAAAACGATCATACCATGAAATTCAGACCACTTTCATGGATTTGAGACAATTTGGAACATCTTATTAAAGATCATGGAGGCAATTTTGTATATGCCAACAATGATGTCAAAACTTGAAGCTGCTTTATTGAGATATAATCACCTTCCATACAATTTACCCCTTTTAACCTTTATGTATTTTCTAGTTTTGCAGCACGATGCATGTGCTCTTTGGAGAGAAAGAGAGGGAAGTGATAAATCACACTGCCCCCCAGGGGGGACGGTCTTGCCACAATCCCTTCTCCTTCAGTCTCCTCGGGATTTTAGGCACACATGCGCACATGTCCGGTGTGTTTTCCAAGCTGCTGGGACTCAAACTGCACTGTTGGCCATGTGGGATCCAGTCACCCCCAACCACCACACGACCTGCTGGCCCCAATTTACTTTTTTAAAGTGACTTAGCATACTCAGAGTTGTGCGACCATTGCCACTATCTACTTTGGGACATTTCCATCACACCACAGAAAAGCCTGCGCTGTCAGCAGTCAACCCCGCCTCTACTTCAGTTCTCAGAGCTATAACCTGACTGTCGGGAAGGCTGAGGAAAAGCATTTTGCCCCCTCACCTAGGGAAACAGTAACCCAATAAACTAGTGTTTGGCAGCACACTTTGGGGTTACCCTGAGAATTCAGTTTCTTTATACATTGGAAGAGCGAAGACTGAGTCTGTTTAAAAGCTTGTATTTACAGTGCTATGGTGATCACCATGTGTAAATCCTGCCCTTTCACTCAGGACCCAGCAATGCTTGGCATACACACACTCAGTGTATGTGTAGAACTGACCAGCAAGTCGGAAAGTCAGGGGAAGAACAAAAAAGGCTAACTCTGAAATTTATTACTAACTGCTATCACTATTTCCCTGGCATGCTTGACAATAAAGCTTTAAAATGTTCTCATCTGTTAAAAAAAGTGAAATACACTAACAAATGTTGTATATAAATATATAAGCAACCAAACCCAATTACATCCACCACAGGGGGGTAATAAAGAAGAAATTAGACTCATCCTTTGAGGAGAAATGCTGGCTCAACTGAACATATCCCCCACTGAGATTTCTTTATGTTTGTTTTGGCTCAAGCTAGCCATAAATAAACTTAAGTAGTAGTCAAGAATGGTATTAGTGTCTCTGAGAATGGTATTACAGTCTGTGAATTTGGATTCTGCCAAGGAAAGAGAGAATCAGAATATCCTAGCAACCAGGAGAATAGCAGGAAGACAGAGGCAGATGACAAGACGCGTACCACCATATTCCCTGGCGTCCAGAGGCGATCGATGAAAATCATCTGGTCCACCTGCTTCTAGGCTGCTACCCACTGCTGTTCTAGAAAGGATGTGTGGGCAAATCAACATGAGGCTGAATCGTCACAGCCTGCAGCTTGTGTATGTTCTTCTCTTCCGTGGTGTGTAACTTGGCTAGGCTACAGTCCCTGGTTATTCACACTAGTTTAGGTGCTTCTGGGAAGGTCGTTGGAAAACGTGATTCTGTCTATAAGTAGTTGACATTAACCTGGGTAGGCCTGACTTAGTCAATGAATTGGCCTTGGGAAGAGTCAGGGTTTCTCTGAGAAATTTCACCTCCGCAGCTTTGGTCCTTATTGGTGAGTTTGAGCCACCCCTTTGTGATAGCCACCCTCCAGATATTACAGACAATCTCACCTAGCTCACCCTGTAAAACAATTCCTGCAATAGAACGCTATTACATATGTATGCATGTGCACACCCCCCCACACACACTGGGTGTTTTTGTGATTGAACCCTAACACAGATGGCAAAGAACTATTATGACTATTGTTCTTAAGCAAGTAGTGCCGGAGGTGCTGCATTCTTATCAGCTAAAGAAGGATGATTAACATGCCAGTCCCTAACTTTCTCTCAGGTCTAGTTCAGGGGACAACCACTCACCCCATCCCCCTTAAAAACAACAACAGAAACTCCTTGAGATTCAAAGAGTTACTGGAGGATCAGGACTAATGTGAACAACAACAACAAAAAAACAAACAAAATACAAACCAGGATCCATCACATGTGGAGTAAATGGCATGGAAGCCATGGTCAAGTCAAACCACAGGAATTGACTTCATATGAAGAAATTCCTCCCTGTGAAGTCTCCAGGCATTTCTAGACATCAGGAACTATCTACTCCAATGTTAGATTAGACTGCAGAAAATTCCTAGCAGAGGCCAACTGGAGGTACTCCTTTTCCCCAGGATTATTTCCTTACAGGTAAAATAATTTTTTAAAACATAATTTTTAAATTAAATTAATTATTATTTTAATTTGCTATAGGGTACATGTGCTCACTAGCGAGGGAGAGAGAAGGGAAGTGAGAAAGCAACCTGCTAGGTCCAGGATTTGAACCACCAACGGCCATATGGGAGTCCAGTGCCTTAACCACCATGCCACCTGCTGGCCCTAGAGTAAAATTTTTTACCTTCAGATACTAGGTAAAGAACATAAGCACAAAGTATTATTTTGGTATTGCAGTTAATTAGGAATAATAACCATAAGAGTATGACTAGTTGGGACCAGCAGTTAGCATAATGGCTATGTCGCTGGACTCCCATGTGGTCGACTGTGGTTCGCGTCCTGGACCTGGTGGCTTAAACTCACGCCAGGCGCGTGTGAGTGCATGCCCAAGATCCCGAGAGGAGAATGGAGGAGAAGGGATCGTTGTGTGGCCATCCCCCCAGGGGGTGATTTCTCGCTTTCTATCTCTCTCTCTCTCTCTGTCTGGTGAGTGCTCTCAAAAAAAAAAAAAAAAAGAGTATGACTAGTTTTGGGACCAGCAGTTAGCATAATGGCTGACTAGTTTTGGGACCACCAGTTAGCATAATGGCTATGTCGCTGGACTCCCATGTAGTCGACCACGGTTTGTCCCAGACCCAGTGGCTTAAAACTCACGCCGGGCGCGTGTGCCTGTGTGTGTGCCCAAGATCCCGAGAGGAGAATGGAGGAGAAGGGACCGCAGTGTGGCTATCCCCCATGAGGGGTGATTTCTCGCTTTCTATCTATCTGTCTGTCTGGTGAGTGCACACGCCCTATAGCAAAAACCTCCCAAAAAAAAAAAAAAAAAAAAAATGTATGACTAGTTTCAGCTCATTCTAAAATTCACTGAATTTAGGTCTAGGTCCAGAGAGGGGACAACCTTTTGATTCTGCCAAGTCACTAAACATATACTTTTATTTACTGTAAAAACAAATAAGTTATTGATTACATTGTGTAACTAATACTTGAGTCTATTAAGCAGTGATTCAAGGAACTGATATTTGAGTTTATTAAATAATGGTCAAGATTGCAAATCTGTTACCAATAGTGAGATTTAATGTTTCATGTACCTTTTAGAGGTGAAGTGATAAAATCAATCATTTAAGTAGCAGAATAAGTTATTGTCATATGGTATAAATAATGCATTCATTTCCTATAATTACCTCCATAATATTAAGCAGGCTTATCAATAGCTACTTATAAACTATTTTATTTTGTCACATACTTATTTCTACTCTAAGAAATGAAACATGATGTTTTTTTGGTGGTGAAATCATATTATGGTACTTACTTGAGTTCTCTACTGAGAACTAAATTAATTCTGTCTTTTAAAGGCCGATTCTTTTCAGGAATGGAAAACCAGGTCTTCCTACCCATAATCACGATATTTTGTTTACCTGTAAAATCACATAGAAGGATAAGTATATTTTGGGAATATGCAAATATTTCCATATATTCATAGACACATGAGGGTGAAAAATATGAGTCATAGTGACATCTAGTGGATCTCCTTTGAAAAACACCTTAACCAAAATTCACACCTATCCATTATCTAAATTCAGTAACTATAATTTTTCCTTTCTCTTTGAGCAATTAATATCCAGTATTTAGTTTTAGTCAATTACAATCATGTATGACATAGTAAAAAGTAAAGATTCTGGGTCAAAGTACTTAAGTTCAATGCATCCTTTCATCCATACTAACAATGTGCTTTATACTCCGTTTATATAAATGGAGATAGCAGTGATTCCTGGTTGTAGAGTATTGTGGGGATTAAAGATTTAGACTATTGTTCATGTAATCTCATTATCCATATTTGCATTCTTTGTAGGTGTACCTTAAGTCATTCTTTTAAAATCCACTCAATTATATTAAAACATGTCCAAATTTACTTCTATCCTTTTTCAAGTGTAACTCTTCCATAAGACTTTATACATATCCCTGGCATTTTTGCTTTTATAACTTAGGAGAAAAAAAGACTTGAGAGTCAGGTATCTGGATCAAAGGAACATTAACATTACCAGATCATACTCAGGGTTCTTCAAAGTGGTTTGTTTCAATTCTCCAGCTTTGGGTTCTTGTCATCTTGTCTCTACCAATGACCCAAGCCCCAAATCCAAGGGCCCTGTATCTGTGCTAGTAAGTTATGTGCACCTGCTCCTTTCTTACCGTTTCCCTGTTTACTCTGCCATTCTTCTTCCTATGACCACAAGTATACATGCTCCTTAAGTTTTTGTTGTTGTTGTTGTTTTCTTTTTTTGCTATAGGGCATGTGTGCTCATGAGAGACAAAGGGAAAGTGAGAAATCACCCTAAAGAGGATGGCCATGCCACAATCCCTTCTCTACTCTCCTCTTAGGTTTTGGATACGATGGATGTTTTTCAAGCTACCAGGTCCAGAACTCAAACTACACAATCAGCCATGTGGGATCCAGCTGCCTTAACCACCATGCCACCAGTTGGTCTATGTCTCAAGTTTTAGATGCCAGCAGGTGGCATGGTGGTTAAGACACTGGACTCCCACATGGCCAAACACAGTTTGAGTCTCAGATATGGCCATCTGAAACTCACGCCAGGCGTGTATGCGAGCCCAAAATTCAGAGAGGAGAATGGAGAAGAGATTGTGGCATGGTCATCTTTTCTGGGGGGTGATTTCTCACTTTCTCTGTGTCTCTCGTGAGTGCACATGCCCTATAGCAAAACAAAACAAAACAAAACAAAACAAAACAAAACAAAACAAAAAAACTCTCTGGAGAAAAATAAGTTTTAAACAAGGTCCACCCCTATATTCTTTGCCTTAGTTATCCTATTCTCTTAAATAGCTGATTTCACTTAGTTTTCTGTGTCTGAAATTATTGTGGATGCCTACAGACATCTCAAAATTGCCATCATCACAACTGCTTACTCTTTTATTCCTTCCAGAGCCAGGACCCTAAAACTGAAAATATTAAAGTTCATCTTTAATGCCTTGGTGCATGGCTTTAAATTCTAGATATCCAAAACTGAGGATCCTGTAGTAGTTTTTAAAATTTGTATCTTCCCCACTGTCCTCCTTAGCCTATCCAGCAGTGCTTCCAAAGGTTTCCTCAGTGCTAACCTCCACCGGAGCCTCTTCCAGCTGACAATTGTGCCCAATACCTGAACTGTACACGTGCACCTGCATAAAATTTCAATAACTTTTTTTTTTTTAAGAATGTTTAATGAACCTTGGGAACTATATCCAGATAAATGGTAAGGAGAAAGGTCCCATATAAACATGGAAAAGTTTCCATTTAAATCGCATTTGCAATGGTAAGACCCTTGGCAAATACCAACCACTTAAAAATCCCACGTTACCTTCTACTGAAGAGGTTGTGGTCATTCTCTGGAAATACTTAAATTCATTCCTACATGTTAAGAGAAACACAGCGTCACTCAAAGGTCTCAATGCCAAAACACCCAATAGGTTTTCTCCAGGGCTTGGACTTTGCTCTGGGCCCGGACAAGGTCCCCAGGGGCAGCAGGTTCTGGACAGAAATCAACAACTGGGCCTCCGCGCCGCAGCCCCAGAAGCCAGCCTGGGCCCACCCCGCCTGTCGGCTCCGGTTGCCAGGCGGACCCCACCCTCCTACGGCGAGTCTGCCCTGCGCATCCCGGCCCAGGCGCCCCGATGCGTGGCAGGCTGTGCCAGCCTCAGCCCCCCAAGCCCAGCCCGCAGGTACCTGAGCGGAGGCCAGGGCAGGTCCCCGTTCTTGCCGATGCCCATGTTCTGGGACACAGCGACGATGCAGTTTAGCGGACGAACCATGACAGCAGCGGGAAGCAGCTCCGAGCTCGCTTTCGACTCCGGGAGGCCCGGCAGAGTTTGGCGGGAAATCGGGGCCGCCCCGCCCCTCGGCCCTATTTGTGCAGGCGAGGCTCCGCCCTCCCGCCCCGGCGCACGGCAGGGTCGCGGCGTGCTCGTGCCCGCAGACGCCGGGGAACTGCGGCCTCGGGCTCGCGCTCCCGGCTGGGGCCTGCCCCTGGTGTCACTCCTGGTCCGGCGATGTCTCGCCGAAAGCCTGAGTCGGGCGGCGCCGCTGCTGCCCGCCCAGCCCCTGGGAGGCAAGCGGTTT